ATTGTACCATGCGCGACTTCGTATGCTCTGGGCATTACGACGCGGTTTCTCCACATGGTCCGAAGAAACCGTCCCTCGCCTATTCACCTCGTCCATTAGGCCAATCCTTGAATATCGTGGCCCAGTTTACCATCCGATAACCCACTGGAAAACTGAAAAGCTGGAGAAAATACAGCATCTCGCAACTACAATGCTACCGAGTCTATGAAAGCTTCTGTATGAAAAACGTTGTGAAAGGCTCAGACCCTACACACTATTTTACCGCCGCGTAAGGATTGACTTTATTATGACCCATCGAGTATTACACTTGAATCACTTCCCCATACTGCGGCCAATGTTTCACCTGCTGGAACCCTGTAACACCCGAGAACACCGTTAAAAACTCAAGATATCCTGCATGAACATGGTATCACATAAGCTTTGTACAGAACGAAAAATCTTGAACTTATGGAATACACTACCGGAAGGATTAATGGAGGCTGATTCCGTGAAATGTTATAAAGCACGTATCGACGGTTAACTCGGTAACCTGTGCTTTTGTGAAACGGTGCATATACAATGCACGCGGATGTAATGACACCAATAGGAATTGTTAACCGAACAAGAATAAACGACTAACTGACCAAACAAAACCGCTGACGATTCGCAATTAAATGTTTTTGGTTACTCATAATTCGATAGAGTTGTACAGGTAACTTTCTACTTGCTATTGACTACTGTCTCAGTCTCATCCTATTTAGCTGGCTAACAACTTTAACGTCTGTGGAGGAGGCATCTCGTTTATAGCTCCGATTTTAGCTGAGTCCGATTCCAGGCCTTCAGCACGTGCCCATGGGATACCATGGAATACCGTACAACGCAGTTCGATCTTCTCCCGCTTCAGCTTGATATTCCTTTCAGCCCACCTTGTAAAAAGCGATGCAGCTTCCGATCGTACTCCTCTTGCGTAGCGCTGAACACTAACACATCGTCTGCTACATAGAATGCTCCCTGTAAATCCTTCAAAGTGTGCATTAGCCGCTTCTGGACACTTTCAGCCTAGATGGTAAACGCAGCCTACGGAAACACCCGAACGGTGTTCTAAACCCTATCAGGTAACTTGGCTCCTCGTCTACACCATTTTACACGCATGTTAGCGCATTGTACCAAGTTTTTAGCGTGGCACATTTTCAAAATCGCGTGCAGTGCTTTCAAGTTAGCGAGGTTTCCTTCAGATAGGCATCAAAATAGAACAGAAGGTGGTGCTCGACCACTTTCATTGAACTGTCTGTCGCTTATGCTGTGGGCTTCCAACCGGTGTCCCATTAGGTAACGTCCCATGACCAATGAGAGTGTCAACGACGCCAAAACAGCGTTCTTAGCCTCGCTAACTTGAAAGCACGGCACGCGATTTCGAAAATGTGCCACGCTAAAAGCTTGGTACAATGTTCTAACGTGCCAAAACGCTGCGGCAAGGTCGACCCTTGCAAAATACTGGCAGCATGTCGTCTAGCGTCGGCAGCGTTTAATATTCCCTTCTGAGTGCGGCGTTAAGCGGTTTCGGATCAATACACACGCGTAGCTCGCCAGACTTCTTAGTGACAATCGCTACCTGGCTGACCCAGTCAGCCGGCTCATCAAATTTAGCCATTATCCTCAAACTGCTCGTTGAGGAATTTTTGCGCAAAGCAATAGGTACCTTCCTATCCGACAACGTTACTGGTTTGGAGAACTTGTGAGCACGTCCCTCGGACATCCCTACCACTCCATCAAACACCCTCGGGTACGTGTCAAAAGTATCTGCGTCAGACTCATACGAATGAACGCAACGCCCGTGGTTGAAAAAATAACGGAACCAAGTCTCCGGATGGAATCAACGTCCGGAATGGGCATAAGGACTTCTGACACTACTTCAGCTGGTGTTTGGTTCCATTCTTCGGACTGATGATCTCCCACATGGCACACCCCTTCGGTCGTAACCTCGAACCAATCCACATCCTGAGAAAAGTGAGTTATGTCACACGGCACTCACTTGCAGTACTTTTCTGGAAGTATGTTGGCAGTGGACCCTGAGTCCAGTTGAAAACGTACAGGTTATCCTCGAATCGGCTGCCCGCCAACTGCAAACTGCGTCTTGGACAACAGTTTCTTCCTCTCTTCTGTCACCATGTTGTGAGCTTGGGTCTGCCAGTCGCCTCAAGAGAAAGAAAACACACCGGCTCAGCACACAAGCGTTCTATTTACAATTCTGAGGTTCTGTACAACCATCTGTGTTTTGAAAACGCACCCGCTTACGCGATCCATCGCCTGATCGACTGTATTGAGGCGGGCGGTTCCCTTCGTCCCAGATTTCAGCCACAATCATACATTGGGCACTTGTGCGATAAGTGCGGATAGTTAAACGACGTGTTGCGTTCGCACGTTCGAACCGAGTAACTACTTTGGTTAGCGTATGGGCCGGTTTTCACCACGCGGCCGCATCGTGTAGTGTGAATTACTGTTTTCATAGTTAGCAAGGCTCTTCAAGGTGGATATCCGTAGCTAGAACAACAGGGAACATTTTGCTATACCAATAAAAGCTATCCTGAATCAAGTTGCCATGTGGAACGGCACTGGACTCACAGTAAAGTGTCGACGCAGAGTAATTGCTCCGTTTCGCGCTCCTTTTACTAGCCTAGAAGAGTACCGTGGCAGAGGTGGCACATACGCTGCATCATCGCTGCACTTGGTCTGTACTTGTACCTGTGAAGTGTAATCTTTGCATCATTGATATCCCAGGTCCGGCCGCGTGTGGTGCGAATGTTGGCATGGTGTCTACCTGTCGAACCACGCCACCACAACTGTCGGTTTCAGGAGACTGTTCACTGTTGCTCGACACACGGGAGGCACAATCTTGGTGACTTAATAGGCTCAAAAAGTGGTCCCATTCAGTGTGGAACAGACTACGCTCAAGCCACGGCCCTCTATGCGAGAGAGTGCTAATAAGTTCTTAGCTTTTACTAGAAAGCAGAGAGCCAGTCAATGAATGACTCATTTATTCAACATATGCACCCCTGAGACTGATCCACTTGGTAAAGCGTATTTGCAGTTTTGCTATACCGATTAGACAAAAGTCATTTCGTTGTGCCTCAAATCACATGTCAGTTGCATGTCTGACGTCGAAAATATCTTCGAAACATTGCCCCCTCAGATGTCTCTTCAGGTTCAGTTTGACGCAGCCAACTGAATAAGGGGGAAGTGGAGGACAAATTAGAAACAAATTAGAAATTAGAAACGGTGCAGGTGCACCGTTCTGTAAGAAAAGGATGCCTTTAGCCGGCTTTCCATGGCGTTTCCTCTTAATCACCTTGCTCAGCCGGATTTAGAGTTTATCATAGTGCTGTCCGGTGATATTGGAGCTCTGAGGAAGCTGGTCCATCAACGGAACACCGTGGCTGTCCCAGAAAACGGACGCCATGACATATTGGCTAAGGCCCACCGTAGCGCCATCCATATAACTGTTTCTTGGTTTGAGGATCGTATATATAAAGTCATATTTCATTCTGAGTCCCTAACCTAGTCAAAAAGTCTTATGCCATCTCAAAATGAGTAGGTGTTTTCGGATGGCTCTACCCGTTTCTGCTGTTTAGTGGTCAAACAGTTCGGCACCCATTTTGCTGATAGCTTACTCATGTCCAGGATAGAAGATTACAAGAGATTTGGGATCTGGGCAATCATTTTAGCGGGTAACCGCCGGTCCTCCATAAGCAGTTCACGGACATCTTCGCAGGTTGCTGGGTCAGCTGGGATTTGGGGACGCCCATTGTGGGGCTCAGCCTGAACGTTGAAATGACCACTCTCAAAACGAGATATTCAGGTTTTGACAGTAGTGCAGGAAAGATACCTATCACCCAGTGTTTGTAACATTCGTTGTGAATTTACTTCGCGGACTTTCTCTGAAGGAACAAAAGTTTCGGCCTGTAACTCAAACGACCCCAAACTTGCTTCTACCTCGGCCATTACAGCTTCTACTTAAAAAGCGCTTTGTTAGAATCCCAGAATATAATATTGGAACAGTCAGATGCCAAGATACTAAGGCTTAATAGTCTCTAGATTCTTTTTCCCATTTTGTCTGGAATGGAGCAAAAACAACTACTCAAGAACACCTCCTAGGTACGTCTTGTACGAATGTTTCCATTCAAACAAATGATTAATGTGCATGTTGAAAGAGCGTTTGTCTATTCCAGGTCGATTGCTGTTCCCATCCACAAGACTCCCAGTGTTACCGAGCGTGTACAGATGAAGCTATAAGTGGTGTATCCCATCACCAATGGATTCTCTGTAGATCAGGAGTGTTGAATTTGTTCACAGTGAAATATAAATAATCAGTGATCGGATGACGTCAATGATACGAAAGGACAGGCAGTGGGTTACTCCAACAATTAGCGGCGTATGCTTTCCAGATGGCTACTATGTATTACAATGGGGACAACATTAATACAACACAGCTTGTTTTAAGACAATGTAGTTACATGAGTAAGACAATTTAAGGACAAGGACATGTCAGTAGATTTGGGCTAATTTGTAAAGAGAATTAGCGGTGGATACAGAAATGTTTACAGTTCGCGCAAGGTCAAGGTATAGACGAAAAGCAATGTCCAGCTACCTGACTGTAAGCGATGGCGTAGCAATAAAAAGTCGAATAATCGAGCGATGGTATATGCTGATGAAATCAGTGAGGTGAATGTTTTCTTTCCGTTGCTTTTTCTACTGGAGAGTGAGCAATGGAAAAGTGGACATGCCGCAACTGGTGGTGGTCAGGAAGAACCCGGGTATACGAAGTCTAAACAATGAATGGTTTTATCTGGAATCACTAGAATTAGCAGGCTAACAAGGGTATGCTGTGGTAGGTACGTAAGGCGAATGTGTAACGGTGTCCGTGTATTAACGGAAAAGCGTTCTGTTAACTAGATAATTAGCACCTGACACGTAATACGTATCCAAGCCGCACAATTTCGACGGACGCAAACTGTCTAACTTACCTCGGCGGCCTTAATAGCCTTCGGTGACAAGCTTATGCTCGGAAAGGCATAGATTGCGCCCTGGATAGTCGTGCACGATAGACCAGGTATTGTGTCAAACACCTGGTTCACCATTGCTGCCCCGAATCGCATATTCTCCAGAACAGTGTCCCTCTCCACAGCAAACTGTGCATAGGATGGCTCATGTTCTTTGGGTGGATTGACGAGGCAACCAACCATAGCCTGAAATGTGTGGGAGTAGGGGATAGGTTGGTTGGTTCGGGATACACGTTATGTGATTGGATTTCGAAGTAAAATCTCAAACAAGTACGAGCTGGGTCCTGGATTTGGAAGTTAGGGTTGCGCTGTACCTTAAATTTATGTGAGAACGATTTCAGAAACAAAAGCAAGCATAGGAGGAAATGCTTAGAATAGTACAAAATCAACGTGACTGGGTGAACGGGAACGCAGTAACATACAACAAACTAAGATACTGAAACTAAGGAAGCCCCGTGGACGATAAAAATAGGCATTTGGAACGATGGGGATATAGATAGATTATAAGGAATTCAGGGAGCTAATGCATTCCTGATACGGTAATATGATAGCAAAAGTTGACATTTTTAAGAAGGTGCAGAAGAGACCTATCTTGATCATCTATTTTGGAGAATGGCAACCTGATCCACTTTTCCTAAAGCTGGATCAGTGCCTCTGGTCTCTTTATGGATAACGACAGACTACCGTAGGAATCATTAGCTGAGATAGTCATAAGTTCAACTGATCCAAGACACAATAGAAAGCGATGAAGTTCATTTTGTCAGACTCACATGGGATCTACGACGTGTGATCCAACACATCGGACAATTTAATTAAATAACTTAGTGGTTTCCGTAATTGACCCGCCCTAAAACGACAACGATAACAATAGCAGCAGCAACAACAACACCGATTTCCGGGGGCGAAATGAATGAAGCTATTCTTCAATTCGAATAAGTGTAGGAGTCAACGGATCGATGAAGTGGGATGGGGCAAAGTAAGAACACAAAGCCGTCTGAACATGCGAAGATGTGAAATTGCTAATTTCCCGCTTCAATGTACGTTTGATTGTTCCTCGGGTCGAGAACTATAATCGTTTGTCAGGTAATTAAAAAATTTATTAATTTACCCAACTGATGCCTCGGTTTCATCACTTAAAAATCAGGGGTAAACAGCGCACAGATACCACACCGCCGGAGAACCGTAAGTCACTGTATGAGAGAGGGTATGGGATAGTTGCCATGTCGTTAAGACGGCAATGCAAAGAAATTGTATTTGGATGTTGTTCTCCGAGCTGGATCTGGGAGATGAGAACATTCCGCGTTACCAGACTAAGGAACACTAACGGTGCAACTTCCTGAGGAGTTGCTTCATCTGGTACGGAAATGTTTGTAGCTGGTATTCGCAATTAATAACTTGGATAACACAAGCAGAGTGACATGGTCACTGGCGCGTGGTTGTCTAGTTAGTGGAGTACATGATGCGCAATTTTCCGGTTCATGTAAAGTAAGATGACGTGGTGGTAGTGAAGTTCGCTCATTCCACGTGTTTCAGATGTGTGGAGGAAAAAGAATTTCGTCTATAGTTTTTGCTGTTGAAGGAACTATATATACACACAGATGGACAAGTAAGTGGAAGGAAAACCATCGGGCATCTTATCACAAGAAGTTGTGAACATATGTAAGATGGGCAAAACTAAGCAAAATGTAAAGGCGGTAAAGATTGCTTTTGTAGATCTCTTGGAAACGCCACTGATTCCTGCAATTCCGCGGTGATGGTGCCTGATGTGCAAATTCTGCGTGCCCGGAATGCGAGAGTGCGGACTAGTTCGGATAAATTCATCCTCGAACATTTAAAAGAACGCAAGATAAAATCACCAAAAACGAGTGTACTCAAGAAAGAAGTCATTGTGCGTTTTAATTTCAAAGGCGACAGTGTGGCTGAAGCCCTGTCCGAACGCCTGAAAGATGCTGTTGAAAAAAACTATTTCGCGGATCGCCTACGTATAGTCTACTACAACAAGCTTTTACTCGCAAAACCTTTGAAAGATAGACTATCTTCATTGACTCGATCAATGCTTGTTTATCAGTATCTGTGCTCCTGTGGTGCACGAAACGCGGGTCGTAGTACGAGGCGCCTACCTCGTAAGATTCGCGAGCACATTCCGAAGTGGTTTTACGGAAGCGAAGCAAGGTCTTATAATAGCTCATGATGTCACACCTCTTAAAGTGCGGTCATGCATGAACAGGAAACAACTGCAGCGTCTTTGGAGATTCTCGCGCGGATTCCGACAGCATCACCTATCAACGGCGGAAGCTATGTATATCTGCCACCCCAAGCAAGATTTCCTGAAGTTAAAAGTTTAGTTTTGATAAAAGAGCCATTTGGTCCAGACAAGAACGAACTGAATATGCTACTAAACTTAACTAACATGCAGCCCAAATAACGCACGAAACTGGTGAGGATGCAAAGGTATTTGCATCTTGGCATCTGTAAATTGCTTGTAAAGATAAAGTGCAACAATTGATATGCCCCTATTTGTTCCAATGATATAACGTGAGGATTTGGAAGCAAGATAATCGAACAAAGGCAAAGTTCAGCACAATAATAACGGCTGAAGTGGAATACTCGATTAATCTGTTGTTGAGCTTCCATGGAAATAGCAGGGTGGGTTGGTTTAAGGTAGTCAAGCAGGTGAGAGTATGATTCCAGGCTGGCTTGCCGAACTACCTCGTCGTGGTGCCATCTGGGTGGTTCAGGATTATCCCGTTCCAGCGAAATGTTCGGCTGCAGTGTTCCAGAAAATGGTGGGTTTTCGCCTGGCAAGCGTTCTCCCCATAAAAAGCCACACATATCCGCTTAATAACCCTTCAACGTAACGGATGTGAATCGCCACTAAATAAAGTCACTGCCCCTTGCTTCATCTAGCTGGAGCATTATAACCCTTCAGCTGGATGCTGAATTACTGGGAGTACTAGGCCTCTATTTGGCAGGCAGCCAAACGAAAGGCGTATGAACCGACCAATCGGTCACCGGCTCCCAATGGGCGCGATTCTCTGAATTCGCTCCGCTGTCCTGCGGGTCAGGTCCCTATGACCAAAGGCTCCGGGTGGGGCCCCCTAAGTCAATCCCCATCCTCGGCGTAGACAACGGGGAAGCTGTATGCCCACACAGCACATGAAATCAAATGATGGATTTACGACTTGTTGCTCACGTTTCTAGCCCTCTGAACTCTCGCTCTCTCTTTGGCCGGGGTGCTGGCGACCGGGCACGTTAAACCTCACTCTACCGCACCGAAAACCACGTGCTTCGTTCCACGTTAATTCAACCCTCCTGTTCTTGGCAACCCCCTTCAATTTCGAGTCTCCAAAAGTGCACTGTAAATAAAAGCGGTACCTTTGGTCTCATCAGAGAACCGCTCAAAACCGATCGCACACATTCCAATACCAACAGCAATGCTTTTATTTCACCCCGCTCGCTCTTCAAGCTAGCTACGTTCAATGTCCGAATGCTAATGCAGATTGGTTCAGAAGTTGCTCTATTGCGCACCTTGGAAACCCTCAAAATCGACGTTTGCTGCCTAACCGAAACCCGTTTACAAGACTTCAGCACAAAGCTGCGATTGCTCTCACCCTCCCTCAGTTCTAATTACAAATTCACCTTGCGCTTATCTGGAGATACGACAGCAGCATCCTCTGGTTGTGCCGGCATAGGAGTTGCGTTAAGCGCGCGCGCTGAGGCAGCGCTCATGGACTGGTTCCCTGTCAACAGCCGTCTTTGTGCAGTCCGATTGGAAAGCTCAGTGCAATTTTCCAGCCACGGGACCAGTAGGCGCTGCTTATTCATTGTGGCAGCGTACGCTCCTACGGACTGCATGCCGGACGAAGCTAGATGAGTTCTACCGCCAACCCACCGACCTCGTCCGCAGCAAACATCGCAAGGACATCGTGATACTCGCCAGTGACTTAAATGCACAGGTCGTTAGACAAGAGGTTCATGAGCGCGAACTTGGTGGTCAATACAGCCACGATACCCGCAGGATGGACAACGGCGATCGGCTCCTTCAACAGTGCGCCGACCACGGCTTATTCCTCTCCGACACCAAGTTCTGACGTTTCTGGCGCCAACGATCCACCTGGCGACCTTCGGCGCCTGGTCAATCTTGGACGCAAATTGACCAGTTCGCTGTTAGTTACCGTTGGCGAGGAAGCACAACAGACTGCAAGTCAATTTGGAACGCTTACCTGACTTCAGATCATGCGCTCGTATGTCCTAAGTTCGTTCTGTGCTTTGGAGGCACCCAACAGCTTCGCCGGAAACGGCTTGACACAGACAAGCTCGCCGCCCCAAATGTTCTCGGCGCATTTCAGAAAACATTAGCCTCCAACTTACGTTCTCTATTCCCCGATGTTGACACACACTTGGCACAGATCCAGAGCGCCTTATCAAAGTCCGCTACCCTCGTGTGTGACTTCCCTAGACGAACTGCTGGTCATTGGATCTCCGCACAGTCACTCCAATTAATGAAAAGTCGTCGAACTTCCGCTGGAGTTGAGTACAACGCACTATGCAGGACCACAGGGGTTGAGCTCAGACAACTCCACACGAAGGATCGTGATGTTTGGTGGACACAGCGCGTCGTTGAGATGGAGCGGGCAACCTCATCAGGAAGCACCCGCAAACACTTCCAACTTATTCGCTCCACGGGAGGCAGAAGACAAACAGTGAGTGAGATTTTGCGTGAAAATGATGGTGAACTAATTCACAGTTGTCATCGTCGTCTGGTAGGATGGGCAGAACACTTTGAAGATCAATTTGACTAGTCAGCAGCGCCGCCGAGTCTATCTTCCAGGGATAACAATGCTCCCTGGTACGTGGATGTTTCTCCACTGACAGAGGCGAAGGTTTCCTATGAGCTTCGCCTAATGAAACGCCACAAGTCATCTGGCCCAGATGAACTTCCTTCTGCCCTCTTGAAATATGGAGGTCATGCTCTCATTCGCTAATTGACATCTTTATTCCATCAGCTTTGGAATACTGAAACCATTCCATTCGACTGGAATTTAGCGGAGGTTGTACTCGTTAATGAAAAAGAGACCGGACCGCTTGCTCCAACCATCGTGGCATCACTCGCATTTGTGTCGCATCCAAACTGCTCGCTGCCCTACTCTTGCGGAGGCGCAGTTGCGCACGGGAACAGAACC